AATAATGTGATGCATAAACAATGAATCTTGGAACACTAAGAAAATAAAGTTAAAAAAAGAATAATACAAAGTAGCAATTCTAATTTTATATAAAATACATATCAGCAGATGGCCTATGTACGCATGCTTTGTGTAACTAAGTATACTGTATAAAAGCTATGAAACTTGAGTACTGCTCAGCCTTTAAAAGAAAGAAGATACTGACATATGCTACATGGGTGACTTTTGAGGACATTATGCTGAATGCAATAAACCAGTCACAAAAAAACAAATACTGTGACTTAGAGGAGGTCCATAGTAATGCAATTCATAGAGCCACAAAGTAGAATGGGGGTTCGGAGGGGCTGGGGGAAAGAGGGTGGGGAGTAAGTGTTTACTGGGCACACAGTTGCACTCTGGGAAGAGGAAAGAGTTCTGGAGAGAGTGGTGAGGGAACTATGAAGGTACTTAATGCTACTGAATTTAAACTGAAAAATAATGTTAAAATGGCAAATTTTGTTATGTACATTTTATGACTTAAAAAAAAGCCATGAAAATAGCAAGAAGACTAACCCACAGAAAATGTATTTTCATACAGCCATATTAGTACTACGGTAACTTTTTTTTTGACCGAAAATCGATTTTGACTATACCTCATATTTAAAAAAGTGAACAGTCTTGTAAATTAAGTGAAAGCACAAAAAATTCAAATGCCTTTAGATATGTACAATGGGAAATGCTAATTCTAAAGAAAGCGAAAGTTTAGTGTTGCGGTTTATTTGTAAGCTAAAGTCGACAGTTGGCGGTCCATCAGCAATGCATTGAAAAACACTTTAGAACAGCTGTGGGGGTTGACACGGAGCTGAGAGCAGAGGTAGGAGGGGGTAGGGGCAACCCCACTATGCTAATTTTATGGTGCACATTAGGTACTCCAGGTAAATCACTGACACGTGTGGATGAAAGAGGCCGAGGCTAGTTTGAGTTAGTCAGATGCGTACCAATGGTGCCATGTGCTGTGTATCGACGCTCACAAGCCTAGTGAGATGAGGCTGGGTATCTGTCTCCCCAGCTCAGTTGGGGACACCAAGGAAAAACTGGTCAATTGAGACAAACAGAAAACCTTCGCTAGAAGATGACCCTGACAGTGAAGGATTGTGGGAGAGCTTGGGCACAGCCTGAGACCCACAATCCTCTGGGGCAGCATTTGGTCTCAAAGGCTAGACCACACCGACTCCATTCCTTTGCCCCGATTTCCTGAAGGGTCCTCAGATACCACACAGCTCCGACTCCAGTCTACAGAGCACACCACCAAGGTCTAGGTGATGGGACTGGCCCCGGCCCCCAGCTGGGTGTGTCAGAGCCCGACAAGACCTAGGCTCCCCGGAGTCTAGTGGTGACATGTTCCTTCCCGAGCCTCACCTAGCCTGTTGAGTGGCCTGTGGTGCTTCTGAGCCCCTGCCAGCCACAGGTCTTGTTTAACTGATACACAGCTCTGGACCGCAGACTGAATTACAGCTATTTGTTTCCCTTCCCCGGTTGCGAGCTAAAGAAAAGCAGGCTTCGTTAATTCCAGTGCTTACAACTGAACAAGGTATTAACAAGCTTTTAGATGGCGCTCGAGCCATTTAGCATTTTCGAGGTGAAAGGGCCTCTGGTCCATATGGTCTAGATTCTTGTACATTTTCATTCCCGACGCTAAGGCTGACAGATCCTCCAGGAGCAAATGGTGTGTTAGTACCTAATTAATCTAACACAAGCCACGGCCCATTTCACGGAGTCAGGCGCCAGTCTTTGCTTCTACCAAGTCACATTTAGGACATCGATTTACTCTTTTTCTCTCACAGCTGCTTGGCCCTATAATATACTGGTAGGCAGTGGGAATCTATCATTTTTCCCTTTCTAGTCAGGTTTGGAAGCCTAAGCACCCATTCATTCATTCATTCATTCATTCATAGAGAGCATGTGAGCAGGGTGGGGAGATGTGGAGGGAGCGGGAGAGAGAGTGTCCCAAGCAGGCCCCACATCCAGCATGGAGCCCAATGTGGGGTTCAGTCTCACCACCCTGAGATCATGATCTGAGCTAAAAGTAAGTCAGATGCTTAACCGACTGACCAGCCCCCTTTCAATCTTTAATATGCCAATGAGCCACAGGATATAATATAGAACAAGAAAAGGATATGCAACTCGTTGCTTTGTGACTTTCGGAGAGTGGCAACACCGCTGTGTGAGTACTCCAGTCAACCCTGGGTTGGTTGCTGGTTTTGGTGAAGCACCAGGAGGGGAGCTCAGTTGGGGGGTACTGGAGCTCTTGGTCTTGTCCTCCCAAGAAAATCACCTCACCAACCTATGCCTCAGTTCCTGCAACTTGAGATATGGTTGCCACCTGACACCTCGCCTTTATTGTCACCCACACGTATTTGGACTCTACCAGCCTGACTGCCAGGCACAATAGGGTTACCGCTGTCAGGGGCTCTCCTCAGGGCTGCCACGGCGCCCAGAATGGAATAAGAAACATGGCAATGTGCTGTGAAATTCATTCCATAGAGTTTTTCACAGACTGCTACGAACAAGATTCTACGGAAGTCAAATGTAAAAGGTGAAAGAAAGTTCTAGTCCTTGACTCTGTTCAGAGTTAGAAATTCAAGGGCAGCAGGCTCACTTAAAGGACGTCTGGCTACGAGGTGAGGTATGGAAGAAGCGACCAGAAATCTCCTCTGCTAAAGACCTTAGGGTAATGACTGCTGTGAAGGTAACAAATGTCAAGAGGCACCTTGAAAACATGCAGGAGGTACCTTCAGAAGTAGAGCATTTAAAGTTCAGTCAAGTAGGAACAAAGAATTTGAGGGGCGGCCAGGGAACGTCGGCTTCAGGTGCTAGGAGGAGCCATGGGGTCCGGGTGAGTAGATTCCAAAGCTCCTATGACTAGGTACTGTGCAGGTGGAAGCCATCACCCGGCCAAGATGATTTTTATAAACACATATAAAAAATTACAGAAAGAACAAAGAATTAAAAGAATTTTAATAAAATCAACAAGTTTACATTTGTACATCTTGTGTATTTGGGACCTGACCAGGGGTGAAGGGTAAAGTTGCAAGGACAAAGGTTTCCAGAGGGGGAAAGCAAGCAAAAAGCAAGGGCCACCCTAGCTGTGTGACGGGCATCGGTTTGACGGTGCGACCCCATGGCCACCCGAGCTGCTCCGGACTCCTGACCTCAGCAAGCACATTTACCAAGCTCGTGGGCATAAACTCTTCGGCTCTCAGGCCCACTGCACCACGCCCTCGGGGGCACTGCCACGTCAACACCTGACAGGCAACGGCAGAGAAACAGTTCCTCAAATTCAACAGTATTTATTGCCCATAGAATATTAATGCCAACTGGGTTCGGTTCATGCTGTTTTAACTAGAGTGGTTACATAGAACCTAATGAGGGGAGGAAAGGGTTGAGCAATGTTCTAATTGTTCTAGTCAACGCCACAGTCACAAAACAGCAGGCCTTTAGAAAGAACCATGTATTTATTTTAAAAATCTGATTTGTGAAAAGGGCCCGTGGGAGTCAGACAAAGAGGAGAGCAAGGTACGGTTCTGAACATAGGAGATGACTTGACTTTAATCCCCGTCATTCTAAAGGATGACAAATGTTTCAAAACACTGACCCATGTTCAGAGAGAGAGCGGAGACTAGTGTCCCCATTTTAGGAATGAGCAGTCACAAGGCGCTCTCCAGATTGTACCCACTTTGTGTCCAGTGAAACAGTGCTTTCAGCGGTGTGATATGGCGCGTGCTAGGGACCTGCTCTCTGAGGCAGAAATGTGACCTCGCGAGTTGTCATGGTAGTGTGCGCAGTGACAGGACCATTCCGTAGCAGTCACCCACAGGGTCAATTCACGACTGGGCTTCTACTTCGCCCCCGTCGACATCGTATGTGGTTGAGTCACAAGGAGAACTTCTTCATCGTTGATTCTTTAGCTGGAGACGCAGCTAGGGAAGAATGCAGGCGTGCTGTCGCTTTCTTGTGCCACTTAGAATCGCCAAAGGAAGAAGAAGACTGACCATGATTAGTACAGGAGAACACTGTTTCGAGAACGGACCATGAATTCTTTGGCCCCTGCTTTGTCAGGCTCGGGGTGACGGCGAGGGGCTGTATCCCAGTGTCCTTCCCTTGTGACACACACAAGCTAATGCTTGCTTTCCCAGCATTGTGGCAGGGAGTACAGTGTCTTGTGTGAGTTCCGGATAGAATCATTCATCTCAGTGAAGAAATTTTAAAGAGGGCAGTGAAGTAAGGACAACTTCGGCTTCTCCACGATGTCTGGCAGGTGAGTCCCCCAGTCTGTGGTGAACAAGTGGGACCCCTCCCGTGGGTTCAGGAAACCTCAGAGCAGGCGTGTAAAGTGCTGGGAGGTAAGGCAGCCTGACTGGACTTCCTCATCGGGGTGTGCAGAAGCGCCCGGCGGGAAAGATGACGTCTCGGTCACAGGCAAGGGTAGCTGCCACCCACTGCCTGCCCTGCTGAGGGTGTGAGGTTCAAATTGGCCTCTCGTGAAACTCCACGTGGCTTGTGCTCATAACGTTTCCCTTTTCATTTCCCGAGCGGTCAGTAGGAGGTACATTTTAACAGGAAAAAAAAAATGTCCCTAACGGATACAACAGATAAGTTTCCAAAGAAGAGAAAAACTGCAGAGATGACAGAACTTCAAATAACAATTTTTAGTCAAACATGGCCATCATGGAGTGTCGAAATCAGCAGGTAGTGTGACAGGACAGGAACGTGCCGCAGGCCGCCGATCTGCTGTCCTCTTTCACGTGATGGGGGCGGCAGCTTGTCACCTGGGCTTTAGCACTTTCTGATGGGTCCTTGACTTCCCCGAGAGGGGGTGTTTGGGTAAACAAGGCAGAATCCTTTAGGGGTTGAGAGCCGGATGGGAAGTAGGCAAGAACAAAGACTCCCCCAAGGTCAGCTGTTTCTAAGGGCAAAGGCAGAGCCCACGAGGTAATCCTGGAAACAGCCCCCACCCCCCTCCCCCGCGCCCCTTAAGGCCGTGCTCCTCACCCTGCCCGGCGACAGTTCCATCTCTGGGCCACCCTGAAGCAGGCATTTCCAGTGCAAATGCATTTTTGAAGACCGAGGTGCAGGGGCGGGGGCAGGGGCGTCCAGCTTGTCTGGACGGCATGGGGAAGGCTCATTTTTCTCTCAAAGTAGACATTTGTTTGGGATCACTGTGTCCCGGGACGGGCGAACCCTGACGTGTCTCTGTTTCCAGGATTTCCCGTGAACATTCAGGGTGGAGTGGTCAGCAGCAAAAAGCCCCTGTTTCACATTGACTGCAGTCTCCCAGCGCCCAGATGTCACTCCCTGGCTGACACCAGTGCGGCGGCTTTCCGCTCTCTGCACCCAGCGGGCTCGGTAAAGAACTCAGGGTCCTCCTCGCGCCCTCGGGTGGGCCTCTTCAAGTCCGAGCGCCGGGGCCGGGGGAGCTGGGGTTCTTGTGTCTGCTGGCGGCACAGTGGGTGTGGACGAGCCCACCATTTGGGTATCTGACAAACACAGGCTCACAGAAGGGATTTTGGCACATCTGGCAGAGCTTTTTGTCCGAGAGCTGAACTGAGCTTCCTTTCAACTTCATCTGAAGAAGAAAAAAAAAAAAAAAAGAGTTATACCAGAGCAGACACGCGTCACCCCACAGATCTCGAAATAGAACATTAGAGGTGAAAATAAACAAAAACATCCCGAGTAACTGGAGAAGTAAAAATAATAGTAATAAAAAAAATTTTTTTTAAAGATTTTATTTATTTATTTGACAGAGACAGAGACAGCGAGAGAGGGAACACAAGCAGGCTTCCCACTGAGCAGGGAGCCCGATGTGGGGCTCCAACCCAGGACCCTGAGATGATGACCTGAGCCGACGGCAGAGGCTTAACGACTGAGCCACCCAGGCGCCCCCTCCCACCAATTTTTTTTTAACGCTATGGAACTGCTTTCTTGCTTCATGAAAAGTACTTGCTGCTTGTCTCACCCAGGCATTTCTATGCAGACCCTCTCTCAAACATTGCATGAGCTCTGCGTTTGCGCAAGGTCTGTCGGAAAGTGACGCCACGTCCGAGCTGGGTAAGCCCTGATAGATGATCTAGTTCCTGGGTCCTCTCATTTGCAAACAAGAAAAGTAAGGCACAAATCAGGGACTCCATCAAAGCCATATATGGTCGATTGGTGGTACTGCCCTGCCTGGTTCTGGGAAGCATCCTTTCATTTGTTTAAAGGTCACTAACCAAACCAGGCCGTACCTCCCCGGACCCTGTCTGATAAAAAGGACTACAGTTCTGCAAGTGAAGAAGCCTTTTTGCACAGTTCACTGGTGTCTGCGCAGGCAAGCCGGCCTCCCAGCAGGATCAAACCCAACTTAGGGAAGTCACCCTGTACTCCTCAGTTTTCATCAGTCCTTCAACAAATGTTTCTTTAACACCTTTGAGACGCTGGGCTTGGCTCTAGGGATACCAAGCTCGACAGCTGAATTCCCTGCCCCAAAGAACCTGGAGTCTAACAGTGAAGGGAGACGATGATGGATATGTGCACGGAATGTGTGGGTGGGCAAAGGAGGGGATTTCCTGCTTGAAGGGACATGAAGGTTTCACAAAGGAAGAAGTACTAACGCTGCATTGTGAGCAGGCGGTCAGCAGGCCCCAAAGGAAAGGTATCTGGGGCCTCTGGGAGGTAACTGGGTGGGGCTCCCAGGATGGCACTGGGGCCATTACAAGGAGAGGAATAGAAGTGGCCAGGATGTGGAGAAGAGGAATGGTTGTGCACTGTTGGTGGGAATGCAAAGTCGTGTAGAAGAGGATGGAGGTTCCTCAAAAAAGCAACAGAACTACCTCGTGATTAGGCAATTCCACTTCTGGGTATTTATCTGAAGGAAACTAAAACGCTAACTTGAAACACTAACCCCCAAGTTCACTGCAGCATAAGTCACAACAGCCAAGGCATAAAAAAGCTTAGGTGTTCCTCGATGGATAAAGAAAATGCAGTATATTTATATGATGGAATACTACTCGGCCATGAAAAGGAGGGAAAGCTCACCATCTGTGACAACATGGATGGACCTAGAAGGTATCAGCAAAGTGAAATAAGTTAGACAGAAGAAGACAAATACTGTGTGATCTCACTAATACATGGAATCGTAAAAAAAAAAAAAAAAAAAAAAAAGCCCAACTCACAGAAACAGAATGGACTGGCGAGATTGCCACAGGTGGGGGCAATGGGTGAAGTGGGTTGAAAGGTACCAACTTCCAGTTACAAAATAAGTAAGCCCTGGGGATGTGACATAGACCATGGAATCTACAGTTAACACTACCATGTTGTATATTTAAAAGTTGCTAAGAGAACGGATCTCGAAAGTTCTCATCACAAGAAAAAGACCTGTAATTATGTGCGGTGACAGGGGTTAACCAGACATAGTGTGATGATCACATCACCACACACGGAAATATCAAATCATTGTACTGTACACCTGGGACTAATATAAAAAAAAGAAGAGGAAGAGAGACCAGCACTTGTCCTCTCTGTGCCATGTAAGGACACAGTGAAAGATGGCCATCCGTGGCACTGGTTCCTGCAGCCCAGCCCACCAGCCGGGGACCTAGAATGTGGAGGTGTGAGCTGGCTTGGGATCCACGTCTGGGCTCTTCATGTGCTATGTGACTTCCCTGGGCCTCAAGGTACCCTTCTGGGACACGGGGAGAGTGGCAGGAGACACTGCATGAGACAGCTGAGAGGATGACGTGACCCATGCTGCCCGGCGTAGGATGCTGCCTGGAACACCATCCAAGCATAGCCGTCTAGCCGGGGAGAAGAACGGCACCTGCCAGCCCAGCTCCCGCCTCTGCCTCCATGTACCTGGGCTTCTACGTGAGCATAATCAGGTATTTGAGGTGCAGAGAAGATGCACCCGGAACTACCTGAAATAGAACGCCCCCCCCCCCCCCCCCCCCCCCCCCGCCGGGGTCTAGAAGCCGGCACCGCCGGCCGGGCCCAGCTCTTACCTTGTCGTACTTGTAGATCAGGTTTTCGGACTTGGCCAGGCCCAGAGCCACCTGAGTGGTCCTGTGGGCGTGCACGCTATTCCGGACGGCCCCAGTCAGGAATGGGCGCAGCAGCTGCACCGACCAGCTGCCTGGCAGTAGCGGTAGGACCCGGGCGGCGTCGAAATCGGCCGCGTGGTGGTTCAGGAGGTCCGTGGCGGCCATGGCCAGCTCAGGCGCGGCGGGGCCGGGCTGGAGGTACATGGCCAGCAGCGTGTGGAAGAGCCGCTGCCGGTATGGTGGGTCCCGGCCCTCAGAGCGCCACAGGCAGTAGTCCTCGGCCGCTGCGAAGTCCCGCAGCTCGTGCACCAGGATGCGCAGGGCCTCCTCGTGCTCCTCCAGCTTCCCGTGCAGGATGGCGCTCTCCATGGGGAGCCCGGCACCCCGTGTTCTATCTGCGTGGCAGCAGCCTGTGGTTAGAGCCAGCCCCGGCTTGTCCCCCCGCCGCCCGGTGCTCTCCACTCAAGAAAGGGCAAAGCGCGCCCGGCGACCTAGGCAGTTCACACAAGGCTTGCTCGGACCTCCATGCCACAGAGCTGGGTGTTCCCAAAGGGGAAGCCAGTCCCTACTCACAGGGAGAGCCTAATGGCAGAATACATATTTTTAGCGACTGAATAGAACAAATGACCTGTCATCCTGGTAGGCCCTGGTGAAACCTGAGTATCACGGCCGCAGGCCTTCAATTAATCTGGCATCGTTCCTATTTTCCCAGTATGGGATCTTTCAACTATGGCAAAAAGGCACTTTATTGATTTAAATTCAGACACTAACCCTTCCTGGCAAAAAAGTGCCGTGAACCCCTTTATTCCAATTTAAACTATATTTCATGTGAAGGAGTGTGGGTTCCTATTGTTAAAAATCCCTATCAATGTGACTCTAAAGCTCTTCTTTTGTTTCTTCTGCAATCTGAGTTTTTAGGCTGTATGGAAAATGACACCAACCCATAATTTTTAAAAATAGGACTTATTTCACAGGGTCGTTGTGGAAAGCATCGTAATGCACGCTAAGCATAATGACCTGGGCCCGGCACGTACAGCCACCAGTCCTCATTATTCAGATTCCATATTCATGAATTGGCTCGCTTGCCCAAATTCCCATGGAATCCCCAAACCAGCAGTCACAGGGCTTTTAGGATTATTCGCGGACACGCACAGGCTGGCACACAATTGGAGCCACCGGCCATGCACGGTCCCAGATGAGGCCCCGTAAGGCCATCGAGGCACTGCCTTCTTGTGGCAGCCCTCATTCTGCAAACAGTCCTCTCCAGGGTTTACTCAGTGCCACGATTTTTGAGTTTTCATGCTTTTTCTCTTGGTGACATTGCCATTTAAAATGGGCCCCAAGCACAGTGCTGAGGTGTGGCCTCATGCTTCCAAGCACAGGCGGACTATGACGTGCCTTACGGAGAAAACGTGTGTGTCAGCCTGAGCTAGAGTTCTGCTGGCTCTGAGTTCAATGTTAACCAATCAACAGTACCTATTAAATAAGGTGTCTTAAACAGAAGCACTCCTAAAACAAGGTAATGTACTGATGGGTGATGAAAATGTTGTGATCAGCAGTTTGCAGGAACCTGACCCTGTACTTCCCTGGGAGCAATCGTTCAGGATTCAGTAATTCGGTGTTCGTGGAGACTTTATAGAATGTAACTATGGCGAATGATGAGAATGGACTGTAGGTAATAGTCAAAAAACTGTCAATGCCATTAAAGACAGAGAAATATATTATTAATCCCAGTAAGAACAAATCTGAAAATTCTATGATGTCAAATGTATCAAGAAACTAGCTAATTCTACTGGGTGTACGCACTGTGCTGCCTTGTGGCACTTTATACAACACAAAAACCACAGACTCTGCAACCCAAGGAAATGAAAACCAGGCTCTCGTCCAAGATACCTGCCTGCCTTCCTATGGCTCAGGGCTCGGTGACAGCCCTGAGCTGGGGACAGTGCCAGCTGGCACAGCCTGGCCCAAACACTGGTGCCATCAGAATGAACTGGGATTCAAGCACAAAGCAGAGTAAGGCAGTTTAAATGAAGGCATGCTCAACAGATAACACAGACTTCCAAACTCCCTGGGTAGCTTTGTGTCATCAGCTAAAGAGCCCACGTCTGTTTCTAGAGGGCGGAGGCCTGAGAAGCTTCGCCCCACCCTGCAGGCAGGCTGACTTAGGGCCAAAAGAGGCTCAAGGACTCCCCATGGTGGACTCAAGACAAGGTGCGACACCGGAGCCTTCATCAGCTCCTTCCCTCCTTGCTGGGGACCGGGATGGAGGAGAGACCAGTGAACCGCCCCTCACCTATCAGCAGGTGCACTCGGTACAAATCAGACTTCTGGAGCAGGTGCTGGAGCTTCAGCTGTGTGTCTGTGGCTTCTGTGGCCTCGCTGCCAGTGCCGGACCTCTGCTGCAGCACCTTGTCCAGGTAGAGGAGGGCCAGCTGCGTGTGGTACTCTTCCTTCTGTGGGAGATGGGATTCCAGCCGACGGCATTTACAGGCGGGGAACATGGAGTTCCCCGAGCCCATGGGAGCTCCCAGACCAGGACCGCGGCGCCGCCAGGGCGAGCCAGGGCAGGGTCTCGGGGGCAGTGAAGAGAACATGCTCACCGGATGGAAAACATCTAGAAACTGCCATCCAGAGAAGGCAGACTTCACATCCGTGAGAAAAAACATAAAAGGGTCATTTCTCATTTGCAAAGTGAGGGCCCCAGGATTTAGGTATTTTCCAAAAACGTGCAGCTTCTCTCATTTCCCTTAAGGATAATTTTAAAAGGAGGGTCAAGAAAAGGCCGCATGTTCCTGTAATCTTCGGAAACCTCCAGTCCCCTAGCCCACCCACGAGGACAGGCTGAGCACCCAGGGTGCAAGGCACTGAAAATACATTAGAACGTTTAAAACAGCTCCATTTAAAGTACTACATTAGAACCATCTGCCAACAGGCTTCCTAATTCCATTCTGTTTCCGAAAGCACAACTGTGGCATGGCAGCCCCCCGCATGTTCGTCCAGGTCCATGGGCTCACCTGCAGCCTCCTGTCTATGACCAGATGTTCCAGGTATCTGGCAAGGGCTGTAGGGTACTTCTTAAGGCAAGTGAGTACTCTGTCCGGATTGAAACTGTTCTGCTGCTCATCCAAAGGTCTCTTGGTGAAAACCTGAACTCCAACCTGGAAGAACAGCAGCAATTACCTATTACTTTTTTCGAGGGCACTGCCCATTTATGTTTGGGTAAAATTGTTGTCAGAAACACGGGGATACACAGGGGTGCCTGGGTGGCTCAGTTAGTTAGGCGCCCAGCTCTTGAATTAGGCTCAGGTCATGACCTCAGGTTCGTGAGATCGAGCCCTGCATTGGGCTTCATGCTCAGTGGGGAGTCTGCTTGTGATTCTCTCCCTCTGCCTCTTTCCACTTCTAAAATAAAGCTAAAAAACAAAAACATGGGGATATAGACAAAACAGGCAGGGTGGGACACTGACAAAGACCAGAATATGACACGAAGACAGGAAAGATGACCTAAACTCTGAAACCTCCTCCTTTATTCTCAAAGGGTCAGAAATGAAAGAAAGAAACATTTGTTGGTAGCAGGTTTTGACAACCCAGGAAGCTACATCCTTTGCACGATGAAGATCGTCCGAGAACAAGGAGGGTCACTTGCTGAGCAGTGAGTGACAGAATGCGTACAGTCCTGAACGTCCTGTAAACCCAGTGCTCTGCACACAGCCCCATGATGTGGCTCATCTATGCACATCCACTGGGGCAAGTTTCCGGATGGCCTTCCCATGCCTGTCGAGTGGAGCTCGCTGTGGCAGACCCGTCTTCCAAGGAAATGCGAATGGGTCAAGTAGGGGAGTAAACACACGCCATTCCTCCCCTGGGCAGTCACGGACATGTGCTCACTGTAGCTCACGCAGACACGCACCCCATGGGTCACACCACACAGCTACCCTGAGTGAATTCTGAGTTCTGGAAGCCTGGATCTGTGCTGTACCAACTGTGCGACCTAGGGAAGTTTCCAGAGCTCAGCTTTGGTTTCCTCTCCTGTAATCTCTACCCCGTGACCCTGCTAGGATATTTAACAGAGACGATGTATGTTGAGTGCCTGGCGTATCATCAGGCTGATACCATCTATCAGAATAGACAGAATTCTGGGAATGATTCGCTTATGCCCTCTATCAGCACTGGGAAGAGCCCAGTGCTTTCAACAGCTTTGGGTGTACACACAGGTGAAGTACGATGGAGTAAGAAGTACGTGAGCCCACGGGCTCAGACCCCCAGGTCAGACAGCATCATGGAGGACATACACCAGTGGAGATTTCAGAACGGCAGATATGACAGAGAAAACTCTATGTTTATGATGAAGGTCCTATGTCACAAAGCTAAGTCTGTCTCTCCAAACGGAGCTGAGGAAATGTTCCTGTTTTCAACAGTGAGAACGGAAATGCTACCACTATCTGTTTTCCCGTCATCTTGGGGCTTTACTGAGGAGTCCTGAGAAGGTTGTGCTTCCTCCCTCCCCCACAGCAGCCACCAGGCGCTTCCTTGGCGTGTTTCCTCCCTGCTGTCCCTTCTCAGCCTCCTGGACAGCAAGTCCCACACAGGGCTCCCTCCTTCCTCCAGACCCTCAACTTCCACACCAGGGGGTGTGGCACAGAGATAGGACAAGGGTGGGCCTGCAGTGGCCTGGTCCCCACACCCTGCAAGGCGATAGTGCATCGAAAACGGAAGTGCCACACTTGGTCAGGCATGGGGAGTCACACAGACACACACATTTTTCAGAAGACGCTAAGAATGTGATCTGGCTATGCTTTCTCCTTTTCTATAAGCATGGCCTGCCCCAGACAAAGAGGCAGACCAGTGCATCTCAGAAGGACGGAGATGCAGAACCGTCCTAAGAGCTGGCACTCCGGTGGAGCAAGGAGAGGTATTAGAAGGGAGCGAACTGCAGACAGGGCAGGGCTCGTAGCCTGGTGGCTTGTTTCTCGCTGAAAACCAAGCCTTCTATTTTTGCTAGCGGCCGCCCCCATAAAAGAGCATTTATGATGCACAAACCTCTTCACTTTTCTGCAGGACCCAATCGGCATACTTCCACACGAGTTCCTGGTCTAAGCTATAGGTAAGGAAGTCGACGACATATTCATACAGGTCCGAGCGAGTGGAGTCATGAATGTCCCCATTCACAATGTTCACCCAGAGCTGGAGAGGAGGAAAGAAGAAGAAATGGAAAGTTACATACCCTTTAGAATTAGCTAAGGAGGGGCATATGTTTACTTATTTGGCCTTCTGATACTTGAAAGTGGTAGGACAAATTCTGAATGCCTAAGTCAATTTTAAGGTTTTCGGTGAAATAAAGCCATGTATGTAGTAGATGTGGTCCAGGAAATCAAGGAGATAAAGCTGCGGATTCTTTGTCTTTCCTTTCTAATGACCGCGCAGTAATACAAATAGGAAACACATCATACGGGAAAAGGTAGATGTATTACAAATGTTTCTTCGTGACATAAACGATCACTGACAGCATCTCGACATAGAACAAGAAATTCACCTGCCTCCATCCGCAGGGCTGTTTCTACCTCCCCTGACACGGGAATCCTTGACTTTGAAGTCCCTTGTGAACTGGGATAGCCAGACACCATGCCTTCAAAAATACTGGTCATTCTGTCCTCTAGTGTTCTGTCTGGTGCATGGGGGCTCATGAGAGCTGCCAACAACAGTCCCTTGCTATTTCATCCAGAAACTTCCCTGTTGTGTAAACCGAACCTTCTTTTCGGAAACCCAGAATGGGGCCACATCACAGGGGGGCGGGGAGGCAGAGGCTGCCCCACAGCCCGTACCACATCCCCTGTACCCCACCTGTTTGTCCACCACACTGCCCTTTAGGACGCCACTCTCGAGAAGCCCAAAAAACAGGGCTGGCAATGTCGTCTCTGTGATCCCGGTATCAGCATGGGAACCTTTCCTATGGTACCAGTTTCCTTAACACTGACATCCTCACACCAAATAAGCTAATCACACATAGAAAGTGTCATTATTTTTTACAGCAGAATTCTGCCACATATCAGATCTCTTCTGTATCACTTTGATTTTGCCAATCCCTCCTCTCTCTATGGCTCTGCTGATGTCACTATTACACTTACATCAGGCCGTAATTCCCACAGCTGCACGTGTTAGAGTACAAAAATATTGCCCTTGATGTCCAAATCTACTCGAAGCCATTGGGGTGCGTGTTGATGGAAACCAGTTTTTGTTTGTTTTTTTTAAACCTCATCTGCAATCCTGTTACCGCGACAGTGACAGCCCAAGGCTGACTTTAGCTTGGAGACAGTGGCTAACGTCCTCGGCCACTCACAGAAGAAAACAAAAAGGCCCCTGAGGGAACTATAGCACGGACTCCAGTGGAGAACAAGTGACAGAAGGAGAGGATGTCTTCTGACCAGTCACAAGCTGCCTCACAAGAGAGGCGAGACAAGACAGGAGACAAGAGGTAAGTGTGACATTTTATCTCTGGCACAGTGTCTCTGCCAGGGCCACCGGAACAGCGGTTCAAATCCCTGTCCTACCGCTGAGCAGGGCTGGGACCCCAGGCAAGGGACCGGCCTCGATTGGCTTCAGTTCTGTCACAGGTGACACGGGGAGAATGATGTACCCTGCCCACCGGCAACAGTCATCAACGGTGGAAGTTCCAAGCAAATGGCTGTCCCCAGGCTTAATTTCCCAGTAAGGCGGTGACGTCACAGGCCTTAGGGCTCAGCAATCAGTTCGTTTTATTTCTTAAATTTTCAAAAACTCAGTCCTGATAACGTCTTTGAAAGAATTGTAAAGACAAAGAAAAGAAAACCGTTGGCTGACATTTCTCAAGGAATTCACTTTCTAAAACAGTATATTAATTTTCTTCTGTAGAAAAGGTTATAGGTCAGGCAAAAGTAGTCTCTATCAACTTGGGAAATTTTTTTCCCGAGTAATACTGAGTTAAAGGATAGTGATGTTTAAAAATCAGGCTAAAATGCTTTTGAACTCACCTGAACAGCAGCAGCATCTTGGTTATTATAATGATAGAGTAGTCCAAGTGCAAAATACCTGAAAGAAAACAAGGAGGTGAGTATGCTCTCTCCCAACCACCTGCTGTGGCTGGCACCGACCCAGTGACAGGCCCCTGGATGACCCTCTGGTCCCCTATACTTGGTTCAACTCAGAGTTCAACAACACATTTTCAATGACAAAGAGATCCTCATTTCTGTTTATTTACTTCTGATATTAAAACATATGCCCTACTGGGGTGCCTGGGTGGCCCAGTTGGTTAAGTGTCTGCCTTCAGTTCAGGTCATGGTCTCAGGGTTCTGGGATGGAGCCCTGCATCAGGCTCTGTGCTCAGCAGGGAGTCCACGTCTCCCTCTGCCTGCTGCTCCCCCTGCTAGTGTTCACTCTCTCACTTCCTCTCTCTCTCAAATAAATAAAATCTTAAAAAAAATAAATAAATAAAATGTACACCCTATCAACTTCCAAAAAGGATCATCCTCAAGTCTAGGACAAGCTAAAAAATAAAATCATAATTATACTACAGAAAATTCTAGGACAAACTAAAAAATAAAATCATAATTATACTACAAAAAATTCTATTTGGATTTGCTTTATAATTTCCTCAAATATTGATATAATTTCATATCTCTTCAGGTGATTACTGTTAACCCAACATAAGGTGTTCAAAGAATACTCAGAAGGTGTGTCATCCGAGCTATTACTGAAAGACGGGGTCAGGAGTCTGAACACGAACAAGAGCAACACAGGCCCACGGTACCCAGCCAGCGCAGAGATCAGGTCAAGGGGAGTCCAGGGAGGGCACCCAGGGTTCTAGGCCCTGAGTTTCAATTCAGGTTCCGTTACTTTGGGACTGTATGGTCTTGAGCAAGTGGAATGCCTACCGGCCCTCTGTCTTCTCACTTGTGTGTGGAAAACGTTGGTGATAACATGGCATGGCAGTTCCAGCCTCCCTAGGTCCACACGGGTGCCCTGCTCCCCATCCTCCCCATCCCCAGCTGGTGACGAGAACAAGCTGACCCGGGAGACATGTTGGGTCACCCTCCGAGAGCGAACTCTCAAGGTATCGAACTCTTCGCTGGAGTCTGCCTCTTCTCCTCAGCCTTTCGGGGGGTTAGGCCAACTCTCCGGACCCCACCACGCCACATCACTACCACGAGGCATCATTGTATTTTCTGGTTCCTGAACAAAGCAACTCCCTTCCACAGTCTATCTGGGAAACTGAGGGAAAGTGTGGGAAGAGCCAGTACCCATGCAGAGACAGGATCTGGGTCTGTGACGCCTGTGGTTCCTGTGGGCCTTCGTCAGTCCTTCTACCATTCCAAATACGTAACAAAAATGACAGAGGAAGAATCCTACTGCTTAAAGGAGTCTAGGGGTCATCCAACACTTTTAAAGAACTCCCTCACTCCCCCGGCTGAACCCTGTACCTGCCCAGAACAAAGCAGTAATGGGCTCCTACCCAGTCAGGGACTGTGGGTGACTGCCCTTGTGCATGTGGCAAGGGTATGGCTGTCTACCAACTCATGCTCATGATGAAGGCAGAGTTTTAAGCCATCTGCATTTATCAACAAGATCAAGAAGTCTCCCTTTTAACCTTTTTACCCAGCTGTCTATCTATCTGTGCAATCTGGCCGTCAATGACTAAAGCGCACTGCGAATTTTACCAACATCCATATGGTGACGTCCACGGATGAGCCCTACGTGGAACAGTACAGATGGGGGTGCTAAGAATCACTTCATGCACTGACTGGGCCTATGACGGGCTGTGAGAGTGCACGCCTTCCGAGACCCTCCAGGAGTCTGCAGACTGTGCCAAGGTGGGTGTCCAAGCTGGGGGGTGCCCAGCTGTCACGGGAAGAATCTTGTGGGGCCTGAGGCACGGCGGCTGCAGCACCTTCAAGGGGCCCTGGCCGCACGCAGGAAGGGAACACTCACTTGTTGTGCTTCTCCAGCCAGGCAGCGCTGTCGGTGAGGAGACAGGAGTTCTCGGTGACCAGGAGGTCCAGCAGGCTGTCGTGGTCAGCCTCCGCGTATAGCTTGAGCAGGGCCGTGTCAATGTCCTCTTTGTAGCCATTGGCGACCTCTGTGCTGCGGACTTCGTTCAGGTAGCTCATGAGGAAGCGCTTACACTTGGCCATCTTCTCCTGGTCCCCCTGGGTCAGCTGGTGCAGGTCTGCGTACTCGTGGAGAGGAGGGTGGGACCGTGTGAATGAGGAGGAGGTGGGCAACAGGAAGGGGTAGAGAGAGATCAGCTCCCGGACGTCAAGCTGGCCGCTTCTGCAATTACAGTGTCAAACTAAATGAAGCAAAAAGAGAGAAAGAGTACACATAGGCGCACAAAACAACACGGGGGGTGGGCACGTCCGCACCCGCTCGCAGGGAGCTGGATGTGTAGGCAGGCGAGGCAGAGCATGGCGCACTGTGCGCCCCCACGCAATTCCAAGGAAGCACAGAGGGGGCCATGCAGAAAGACACACGCACCGCCAGTGCTGACATGAGTATCGAGACCCCTGAGAGGGTCCTAACACCAAGGGAGCAGCAGACTCCCTGGAAACTAAGGCCAAGAAGGGAACGCGGAAGGAACACAGCACTGTCTGGTCAATGGTGAAGGACCGTCCTTATGAACCAATGCTTCTCCTGGCACCAAACTATAAACAGGTTTGCTCACTGGTTCATAAACAAGGGACTTTGCCAGAAGGTGACTTACAGTTTCCTCATCAAAGATCCTATGATGGGAGCCGCAGGAGCATTCGTGAGGCTGTTTCTGTGGTGACTCTCAATGGCCTCTTAGAGCATAAGGTTAGGCCCCAACTCGGAGCATAAGGTTAGACCACAACTCCAATGGTATTCTAACTGTGCAAGGCCATGGAGCCCGTCTGGTGACATCCCACCTCTGCTTTCCTGTTGGCCTCGTCCCCCGCTGTGCCCCCCGGCCTGCTCGTCCTGTCCACTGTGGTAACAGCGGCAGCATAAAGGAGCTGCAGACCTCAATGCAGCCCCACCAGGGGGTCCCTCTTGCGGAAGTAGACGCAGGGTTCCCAAACATGAATGGGAACCCTAGGTTGGGCCTGGGGTCTTTACTCCCGGCAATGTTCACGACATCCACCTTCCTTCAAGTTTGGACAGTCTCTCCTCCTCCCTGACTTCCATCCTCTGGTTCTCCTTCCTTCCACTCCTGCCCTCTAGTCACTTTCCATGGTGCTGGGCCTCTTTAGGATAAACCCCAGATCTCTGAGCACAGCATTCTGGGGCCTTCCCAGCTGCTCCCAATGCCCTCACAGCGTCAGCTTCCACCATCCCCCCCACACTCTGACGCTTCAGCTGCACCCATCACCTCTCTGGTTTACACACTTCCCGCCTGGCCTCTGCTGCCTTGTTCCTTCTGCCTAAAGCAGCAGCCCTCATGGCGGCAGTTGTGCTCCCTGGGGGACACCGAGCCATGTCTGGGGACTTCCGGTCACCACTGGCAGGCGCTATTGGCACTGAGTGAATAGAGGCCCAGGGTTCCTCCGACACATGAGAGAGCACCCCTAACAAATTATCCAGCCCAAGAGGTCCAGACTATAAGATTCCCAATTTGGGAAGCTTCTCATCGCTTAGGATGCAGCCAAATCCCAATCCGAGCCCGTGCTCTGCACCCGCCCTCAGAGCGCCCCACCACCACTGCAGAGCGGCACCCGCGCTGCTGCCCAGCGGGCCCACGGCCGCCATCCACACGCGCACGGGTACGCCAGGAAAGAGGCGGCAGTCTCACCCCGCACTCTGGCGCTGATTCTTGGGCCAGGTCTGCTTCCTGGGAGGAGTGCTGACCTGACCACACAAGAGGATGGGCTGTATCACGTCTCGGGGGACAGACGCAGAGCGGAAGGGCCCACAGCACGAGTCCCACAGAGGTTCTCTCTTGGGTGCCGACCACAACGTGTTGGCACTTGTGGCTTCTCCACCAGACTGAGATGGAATGCAAGGACAAGTCCCACATCAATGAGGAAAAAAACAATCCCACGTTATTAGCAACGTCTGCCGTGGACGCAGGAAGGGAACGCTTGCCTTGGGCCTGCCTGCTTCGAGGACCAATTCTCTTGGTCACATTTTGACAACGGAGCAGCCGTCAGTTTACGCTATGAAGGGGTTGAAGCGTGAAAGACGGGGGAGCCTTGTATTAATGACTGACAGAACCTACAGCTATTCTGTTAGAAAAATCTGTGAACTGTTCTAGGAACAGATTATGACCACTCGCCCACTGTTCCAGATTAACCCATGAGAAGACGGACCCAAATGAGAAGGTTTTCGATGCTGCAGGGACAGAACAGGCAGGACAGAAGAGAGCGAGGCCCACAGGGACAAAGAACCTACACGAGTCCCCCAGTTACTGCTCCTGCCAAGAACAGATGAGAACACCACACAGAATACGACCTAAGTGTAAGTTAGAGGGGGCATCGCTATTCACTAAGTGACTCCTTCTTGACTCAGAACGTTGTTCCCTCAGTCCCCCGTGCGACAGAGCAGGAGGCTGGAGCGGTGGTGAGTCCAAGAGCCTGCGGAACAGGCGGCGGACAGCGTGCTCCTGAGCCGTGCTCTGCTCTGGCCACTCCCCAGATGTGAAGGATCTGTTTGACGCTTTATACACCCTTTATCCTTGAGACGACTCTAAAACGTGCAGGATCTAGTCTAGTTAGATGGCCTGAAAACTCAGGTCCTAGCTTGTCCTTACAAACGTTTCCTTGTGAATCTTGGAAGGAGCACAGTTTCTACCAGTCTTCCCAGGGGCGCCTGCTCTGTTCCTAAACTTCTGATTTCCCATAAAATCTCTGAAGAGAAGGAAAAGTGAGCAAGAACAGCATTTTTCTAGGAATTCTCTGCATTACTGAGTTCACTCTAGGACTCCCTTCTTCTCTCTCCACAGGACCATTATGGGAGCCTTCTCCTCCTCCTCAGCCTCTACCCTCTTCGAGACACAGGGCAGGTAAACTGAGGCTAGGGAGTAGGGGAGAGAAATGAGCACCGCTGGTGGGTGCTGTTGTCAACAAGCCTCCCCACTTCCCCCTGAAGCACAATCTAACCACGGCAACAATTCCCCTCACAGTATCACGGTAGAGTTGGTCTTGACCACAGAGGGACACGTGGGAAGGCTTGCTATCAACACCTCAAATTTACCTGAAGAGCTCTTTAGCTTCCAGGAACTGAAGTTGTGCAAATTGTATAAACCCGGCCTGCTGCAGGATCCTTCTGTACATTACCTGCAAGGAAAGATAGGTTGAATTCATCTCTGAGAGACCCCGCAAAACCCTGCAAAACCAGCACAATGGGGAAAAACTCTCTGGTCAGAATACAAACCCAATGTTCAGGATTATGCAGAAATCAGAAGTTATAAGGTAAAGAAAAAACATGGCATATATGAAATTATTTCCAATACAAATATATTTCTGTGCATGTGTGTGTCAATGAACTAACTTCACATTCCTGAAATAAAGTTCTTCTCTATTTGACTATTCTTCCCTCTCCAAGGATCTTCCCCCATAAATCTCATCTTCTTCCCCAATGTGTCCTTTTATCTTCTGTCCTCCTCCTCCTTAACTCATAGGGTTAGGGGGACAGCTTCTACTTCTGGTGGCTCAGACAGAGAGCAACAGCCCCAGCATCTCTAGAGGTCCAGAAGCTGCTCCCCGTGCTTCCACTCCTCTGGAACTGACACTTCACTTCTGAGTATCCCTCAGAGCACAAGGCCAATGCCATTTAGTCAGCAGACAGATAAATCCACATGCTTTCCTAATCCCTCTCCTGGAGGGGTGCCCGGCCCACGGTCACACTCCCCAGGCAGAATTCCTGCCATCAAGCTGCCAGTGATCTCGGTTTCAACCAGGATTGCCCAGATTTCCTTGACCATGGAACTTTCTTCTCATGATATCCAGCAAGAGCAAAGGGCACTCTAGAGAGCATTCCTGTAGTGTCTTAACCCCACCCCCTCCTGTCGCTTTCCAGCTTGGTCAGTGCTGGAGTTGCAAGCATCCTTCGCTTCAAGGAGCTCTTGGACATGCCTCTTCGCTCTGTTCATATTGGTGCCAGTCCACAGTCAGGCGGTCACCTCCTCAAGATCAAAGACTCCAATCATATTTCAAACCCTGGGAGTTCAATTCCTCCACCCTCCAACCACTGTGCTGTCCTGTGAGCCATGAAGTCCTTGGCGGTACGGCACGTACATTATTCCTCTTCGTAGCCCCACACCCCGGCATGACACCTGCCACTCAGGAAGGCCTTCTGGATCTGAAGAGCCATCTCCTCGGTATTCGGGAACTCAGACGGAGGGACAGTTAAGATCTTAGCCGAAGTTCATGAAGTCGTAAGTGGCTGAGCTGGGATTTAAAAAGCAGACCTTTCTGATTCTAAAGCCCAATTTTTTTCACCCACTGAGTCACCCAGGTATACAGCAGGCAGTTAACACTGTTACCCACTGAAGAAGAGAGGGAAGTGGAGACAGTTGGCACCTAGAGACCATTAGTTCCATTCCCTTACATCAGCTTTTAAAGGGGATTTCGCTGTAGTTTTGAAAAGTTCTCAAAAGTGTAGCATTTCCTCCCTCTCCCCACAGACATTCCCTGAGAGAAGTCAGAAAAGGCAGGTTGCTTTTTCATTCCTTACCACTTGCCTTTACCTTTCTTCCCTGACAGCAACCACGTGTGGCCTAAAAACTAGCCTATTTAAACCCCCCCACAATAAGCAGACAGGAGACAGGAGTGGGTCAAGGTTCTGTTGTACGGGAATGACAGCTCCATTTCTGGAAGCAGACACGATGAAGACCATTCACCTAGCAGAAGGGATAAGAAGGAGCCATCATCTGCAGTAGAGGAATTCTTGATCTCCGGCCTGCTGATGAGCAATCAGCCGAATCACGATTTACTCCACGTGGTTGCAGGACTCAAACGCCATCTACTCTTTCCCTTCCTAAAGGGAAATAAAAACCACTTCTGCCAACACTCCCCATCTCCAAGAATATGGGGTTATTTCTGTATTCGAGTCCGCGAATGCTATAGGCAGACTTAGAAGAAGCTTGCAAAGAGATCCCGTCATCCTGAATAGAGGCACCTAGATGTGGAACCACAGAAGCTACACAACACATCGCTGACTCAGACCCGCAAGCACCTGATCAGAAACTTCAGCAAGCACAGCCGATTCCGGTGCTCTGAAAGTGACTGTCTCCTTGCCAGACCATCCCCTCTGACTGACAGCTTCTCTGGCCCTCCACACAGGTGAGGCGGGGTTACAGACCTGGAGTCAGGGCGGCCAGCAGAAGGACAAGAAAGATGGCCACGTGAGGAGAGAGAACAAGAAAGTCTGTTTATCTCCCCAGTGGGCAGAGCTAGCACAATAGAATCTTCAGCTGTCCTTTCAACTTTCTGATTTGTCCCTTGCATAAGGCAGCTATCAGAAGTCCCAGGCCAAGAGCATAAATTAGCCCAACAGAGCTCTTATAAGTACCACTTGGTATCTGCTGTGCGCAGAGGCACAGGGCCCCCACCAGCCAGGTGGAAGAGGTCATGCGTACTCTGGGAGCAAGGTCAAAGTGAAGTCAAAACCTGTTTCTACTATTCTGTTTCTGAATTGAGATTTCTGTCATGCTTTGGGTAACCAGAAATTTTGTGAAGCAGAAGATTCTGTTCTATTCTATTTACAGAGAGGCTTCTTTTTAAAGGGCAGAAAGCCCACTTCTAAGGTCAGGCCTGGATCCCCCTCCCCCCTCAAGGGCACTGCTGTTGGCTTTGCCAGTGGGCCCATCTCCAGGAGAGCAGGGCCAACGGGCACACCCACTTCCTTACCAAGGATGACTGCAGATCTAGTGCAGAGAAACCACCGGGTGTGGTCATTACATGCCAGATACAAACCATTACAAATCCAGAGTACAGCCTACTCTTGACATGAGACTATGCATAAGATTCAGGTTATAAGGCCCTGTAAGATCAAGAAGACTTGGGCTATCTGGTACGTACATATCATTCCCGTAAAATGAGTACAACCCAACTCTAAACAAAAATTGGTATGAATGTTGGACTTTTAATTGTATTCATACCTTCTCTTGTAATACATACTGCAGCAGTGGGTTTTAGGCTTTTAAAAAACGTATTTTAAAACTCTGCTCACTTAGTTACTGACAAATAGAAAGACCTTTCTGAAAATACACTGGGTGAAACAGTTGCCCCACCTAAGTGGCCATGACATTCTCTCCTTGTTCAAAAGGCAACCCATCCTCATTAAGTTTGGACACATGTGTATGTGTATGCACACGAGTGTGTGTGTATTATAAATACTGATATATACAAAATACACATAAAGAGTATTTACATGTCACACATATACACACACATGTATATACGCACACCTACATATGTAATACAAATCCATAATGTATAAAATAATGTATTTTACATACACCCGTTCTTGGGAACTCACAGAAAGATAGTAATAAAAATACATGCTATATGGCCTCTTAGGGATCACAATAGATATTAGTGTATTAAAAGCTCTGAGAAATCCTCCAGTTAAGAAACCTAGTTAATGCAACTGTGTAAAACAGAACCTTTCCGCCCTGCATCCATCCCCATCCCAGAGCCAGGGTCTGGTGACATGCAGACTAGAAGATCTGCTCCGGAATCAGTCGTGTGACAGATATGCATGCAAAGCAGGAAAAGTGGTCAGTTCCACAGATAGGGACAGTGGGGGCCAGCAGGTGCAGGGGCCGGAGAAGAGGCCCGAGGAACTCAACATGCATAAGGAACCCTACCCAAAGCACAGGTCTCGACTCTTGTAAAGGATACACTAAGAGATAGGAATACATAGCTGTTTAAGAAGAAAAATGACATTCTAAGGACAAAAGCCCCTTGCTCTTCGATATTTTTCTTCACACACGTGCATGTATTTTTTTTCTCCTGTATTTTTTAAGATTTATAATGGAAGTGATGCATTCATAGAGCTCAAATTTCCAAACATTCAAAGGGGTTTAATGAAGAGTCTCCCTCCCACCGCAGTCCCAGCCAGTGGCGCTCCAGAGGTAATCGATGCTATGAATTTCTGGGCAGCTGCAGAAATAAGTGATGTATTTTTAAGTTAACTCTGCCCCCCATTTTAGTAGCACTATACCCACTGTCTGCACTCTCTACATTTTTAATTCATTGTCTTTCAGAGAACCGTCCGCCTCGACACACAAAGTCCTTGGTTCTTGTTCCTGGCTACACGGTGTCCTGACAGCCCGCTAGACCGCAGCGCATTGAACCCTCCTCCCTTGGCAGCATCTGGGTCATTGGGTTTCTTCTTAAACAACCAATTTGATCATGTAGAGTCTTCTCCGTTGGTTATTTGGCATTTTTGTGCTTAGACCCCTAGAATACCCCTTAGGAGAACTGTACCCTGTAACTTGGAGAGAGATGCTCAGTTCGTCCTCCTGCAGGCAATTTACATTCTTAGAAGTGACTTCTGCAAGTGTCCATTTCCCCACACCCTCAACAGAGCATCCCCAAACCCTCTGATTTTAACAATCTGAACGGAAAATAAACTCATGGACTTTTAGTTTGCACATCTCTGTATGCGTAAGACGAAATATCTTTTCATAATTCATAAGGTAGATGATTTTACTTTCTATGAAATATCTGTTCATATTCATTTTTCTATGGGGCCATTCTTTATTTAAAATTTTTTTCAAAAGAGGGCCTGATGTTTTAGAGAAATCAGCCCACCTTCTGTCCTTTAAAGTGCAAGTAGTTTTTTGTTACTTACGTTTTTAATTGATTTAGAGTAGGTTTCGCCAAGTAGAATGCGTTTGTGAGTACATGTGTGTAAGTTTACTAAAACTTTAAGTATTACTTTAAAATGTTTCAAAACCAAGGTATCGGGGCGCCTGGGTGGCTCAGTGGGTTGGGGCCTCTGCCTTCGGCTCAGGTCATGATCTCAGAGTCCTGGGATCGAGCACTGCGTCGGGTTCTCTGCTCAGCAGGGAGCCTGCTTCCTCCTCTCTCTCTGCCTGCCTCTCTGCCTACTTGTAATCTCTGTCTGTCAAATAAATAAATAAAATCTTAAAAAAAAATTAAAAAAAAAAAAAAAAAAACAAGGTATCTGGGAAGACTGTGGCAGGGCAGTCTTTTTACTCTTGCAGCCTTCTCATGAAACAGAACAATTAGTTCAGAGCAGTTCACAACAGCCAAAGGGTAGAAACAACCCAAGTGTCCTTCAGTGGATGAACGGAAAAACAAAA